AAATTTTTTTTTGACAATTAAAAGTTTTTTTAAATTGCTGATTTATTGTGCAAAGGTTTGTGGCCATGTATGATCTTTTTCCTATATTTATATATGTTTTTTTTTTGTTTATTCTACCATAACTTCGATATCCCTCAACAGATTTGAATTACATCAACCCGAATAAGACTGGCCGCTTATATTATTTTTAAAAATTATTTATCTTTGACAGGTCATTTGCTTTTTTATCTTGCAGAGCAACTTGTACTTGTTATTATTGTTCGTAAGATAACTTAGTTTGTATACAAGAGTAAATTCTAATAATAATCTTTTGTAGGTGGTAGAGCCACGCTGTAATACCATATGGTATTGCAGCATGAATGGGCCGGCTCGACCGGGGAAGTACCACACCCTCACAGAATACCGACGCTAAGTGGCCGCACTTTTAGTGCGACCACATTCCGTATGGTGAGTGAGGGAGTCCGGAGGCCCATCCTATACCCATCCCCTTCCTTATCCTAAAATCCTCCCCCAACTCCGTCCCCCCATCTTTCAATACCATGGCAGTGGAATTTAAAAAAAATAACGTACCCCAGGGAGGTACCAGCAGCCATGTTGCTGGAGAATCCTCCCTCGAGCAACCACGCTCGGGCTGCCCTGCGTATTCTGGGGGGGGCAAAATTCCGCTCTATGGGACCAAGGGCAAACAGAGCAAGACTTCTGCGGCATCCCCTTTGCTCAATGTGAGCCTCTGTAATATTAGGGGAATTCATTCAAACCTGAACGCTGTCCACCACCACCTAGAAACGGCGCGGCCGGCATTGCTCTTCCTCACGGAGACACAGATATCCCCTCCTAACGAAACATCATACCTGACCTACCCGGGGTATAAGCTTGAACATTGTTTTGTTTCGCGTGCCGGTGTATGTGCGTATGTCAGAGAGGATATCTGCTGTCGACGCCTTGGGACTCTTGAAGGTACGGACCTGTCCATTCTATGGCTGCGCGTAGATTGCAATGACCATCCCCGCATCTATGCGTGCCTATACAGGTCCCACAGCGGTAACACTGAAACCGACCAACTAATTGAGCACGTCCAAATGGCTACAGATTCCCTGCTTGAGCAGATTCCTTCCGCTGAAGTCGTGATTGTTGGCGACTTTAATGCCCACCATGCCGAATGGCTTGGTTCGCGTACAACCGACTATGCGGGAAGATCTGTTCATGACTTTGCTTTGGCTTATGGTCTGACACAGCTTGTTTCCTCGCCTACGCGAATCCCTGATGTGTTGGATCATTCACCTTCACTGCTGGACCTTCTGCTGACCACCCACCCAGACAACTATGTGATCTCCGTCGAAGCCCCGCTTGGATCGTCGGATCACTGTTTGGTGCGGAGCGAAGTGCCTCTTACGAGTCCGACTTCACCTCGTTCTACGGGTAGACGTCGCATTTGGCACTACAGGTCGGCGGATTGGGATGAGATGCGGATTTTTTTCGCATCTTACCCATGGAGGCAGGTTTGCTTCACACTGGATGATCCCGACGCCATTGCCGATTCCATTGCTGATGTGGTGCTTCAGGGAATGGAATTATTTATTCCTAACTCTGTGGTGCCCGTCGGCGGGAAATCCCAGCCCTGGTATGGAGCCTCCTGTAGAACAGCATCTCGTCTGAAACAGGAGTGCTTCCTAACCTGGGCTAAAGGTGTGGCGTCGCGAGATCCTAACACCAGTGCTCTTAAAAAGAAGTATAACTCTGCCTCTAGGTCTTTCAAAAGAGTTATAGCCACAGCGAAGTCAGAGCATATTAGTAGAATTGGCAAGAGACTGGCTAGTTTGCCCTCTGGGACTCGAGCTTTCTGGTCTCTTGCCAAAGCTGCACAAGGGAATTTCTGTAAGTCATCTTTTCCACCTTTGCGCAGGGAGGATGACTCGTTGGCCCAGAACGCTAAAGAAAAGGCCGATCTTCTTGGATCCATCTTTGCGTCAAACTCGACATTGGATGACGGGGAGAAACCACCACCGACCATCACGTGTTGTAGGAGCTCTATGCCTGACATTAAATTCACGCATAGCTCAGTGCGTAGAGCACTTTTCTCTCTCGAAATCCATAAGTCGAGTGGGCCTGATGGTATTCCTCCAATTGTGCTTAGGACGTGCGCACCAGAGTTGGCTCCGGTTCTTACGCGTCTTTTTCGGCTTAGCTACTCATCGGGCATAGTCCCAAAGTTTTGGAAGACTGCTCTGGTGCATCCGATCCCTAAAAGGAGATCGCTCAGATCCAGCTAACTATAGGCCCATAGCTATCACTTCCTTATTCTCGAAGGTTATGGAATCCATCATTAACCGTCAACTGCTCCGGTACCTAGAAGAGCACCGGCTGATCTGTGATCGCCAGTATGGCTTTCGACAGGGACGTTCGGCCGGTGATCTTTTAGCTTACTTAACACACCGATGGGCAGTGGCAATCGAGAGTAAGGGAGAGGCCTTAGCAGTTAGTCTGGATATTGCGAAGGCCTTTGATCGGGTGTGGCATAGAGCGCTGCTTTCAAAGCTACCTTCATTTGGGTTGCCTGCGAGACTGTGCATTTGGGTCGCCAGTTTTCTCAAGGAACGTAGCATTAAGGTCGTAGTCGACGGTGCATGCTCTGATTTAAAACCTTTGAATGCTGGTGTCCCGCAAGGCTGTGTACTATCTCCGACTCTGTTTCTTCTGCATATCAATGATATGTTACAGATAAGTAATATTCATTGCTATGCGGACGACAGTACAGGAGATACATTATATACCGGTCATGCAAAGATCTCGCGGGCACATACCGATGAGTGCCGGAATAGACTTGTGTCTGAAATCGAAACTTCACTCCATCAAGTTTCGATCTGGGGTGAACAAAATCTTGTCCAATTTAACCCCAAAAAGACACAAGTCTGCGCGTTTACCGCAAAAAAGACGCCGTTTGTCGTATCTCCTCACTTTCAGGGCACTTCCCTTGATAAAAAGTCAAGTCTAGGAATTCTGGGCGTTGATATATCTTGCGACGTCCAGTTTTGCGGTCATCTGGAGGAGAAGGCTAAGATAGCTTCCAAAAAGTTAGGAGTGCTCAATAGGGTGAGACGATATTTCATGCCAGAACACCGCCTGAAATTATATAAAGCCCAAGTCAGGCCGCATATGGAATACTGTTCTCACCTGTGGGCAGGAGCGCCACAGTACCAACTCCTTCCGTTAGACCGCATTCAAAGTCGGGCGGCTCGAATTATCGATAGTCAACGCCTTACTGTCCGACTTGACCCATTGAAACTGCGCAGAGATGTTGCGTCTCTGTGCATCTTCTACCGAATTTATCATGGGGAGTGTTCTGAGGAATTGTTCGGATTGATACCTGCTGCTGATTTTCACCACCGTACAACCCGCCACAAACTAAAGTTTCATCCCAATCATCTGGACGAGTGGCGGTCTTCCACCGTGCGTTTTTCAAGGCACTTTCTTCCACGCACAACCATTCTTTGGAATCAACTTCCAGCAGCAGTATTTCCGAACCGATACGACAACATAACCTTCAAGAAAAGAGTATATTCCTTTTTAAAAGGCCGGCAGCATACCTGCAATGCCGCTGGTGTTGTGGGTGATCATGGGCGGCGGTAGTCACTTACCATCAGGTGAGCCGCATGCTCGTTTGCCCCCTGTGTTGTAAAAAAAAAAAAAAAAAAAATCTTAATAGAATACAGTTATAACATAATTTGATCAAACCCGTACAACTTTTCCTGCATAAACAATAACTTACCTACAAAGGTTCGTCCTTTCAAGTATTTGTTTGGGAAACTTGACTTTCTAATTGTTTCGAATAGTTTTAAAGTGATAGCTATTTACAAACAGAAACTTGTATTGGAATTATGTTTCATCACAACTGCAGAAGCTTCATATAAATAAACAATAAATTAACAGCAATATTTCGGAACAGATAAGACATTGAAACATTCAAGAGAAGAGCATAACGCACCTTCTTAAAAGGCCAACAATAAATCTGTAATTTGCCTGCGTTGTTTTGGGCAGCGCTATTTACTTACCATCTGGTAAGCTACACGCTTGTATGGCTCCTGTATTATAAAAAATGTGATAGTCTATCAAGATGTTTGTTACTTAAGTTTGCTTAAATGGCTGCGTTGACAGAACTGACTCACGTGTCATGAAACCTTATTATAACTTTGTCTGTTCGTCCGTTAATCACATCTTAATAATATATATATATATATATATATATATATATATATATATATATATATATATATATATAACTTAATGTACATTTACTCTTGTCATTCAAGAGATTGTTTAGTGTGTAATAATCTTTGTTAAATAAATGTTTTTAATAACGGTTTTAAATATAAATAGTCTTATAGGTATAATAATATTAAATGTATGTTATGAATAGTCCAATGATAGCCCTATAGAGGTTTTGACTGATTAAAGCAATGAAGAGTAGAATTTTTATTATTATTATTTGAATTTAAAGAAATTAACTTATTTTGCTTTGGTGTACCTTGTTTATGTGTTTTGTAGTTCGATACATTGCGTTTCTATTATGTTACTGTTAAATAAAATTAGATACATAGAGTAAATTAGCATGATTGGCAATAGAGTGCTAACATTTAAATACAACATAGTGTCAAAAAAAAACCAAGATATTGGATATATTAATTCATTTTGAAAAATGCTTATAAAAATGGTCGGCTGACCTATATTTTTTTTCATATATTTAATAAAATCCTGAAAGTTATTTTTTGATAATATAATACATATAAAGATTTGATAAGTCACTAATTACAAGTAATAATTTTTAGGTACAGTAAGGTTATACGTCAATCGAAATTCAAATCTAATTAAAAACAAATGCAATTTTTTGAAGTATTTCCTTACTAAAGCAGGTGCCATACAGAAAATAAGACTTCATTAATACATGCCCACTATCTGTATCCTATAAAATGACATTTCACAACCAGTGTGCCACTATACTATACCTCAGTATTCTCTTCATCGTCCTCTGTAGTATTATTGTCATATTTCACAAACGCAAAACGTAGCTGATTTTCAAAATTTTCGCGGGCCTCTGCTTTTTCTTTAGCACTTAACTTATCCATTGTCAAATATAATCACTTTCTGTTATTGTATTTAACATAAACTCATTATTCTACGTACACAAAATTAATATTTATAATTAATAATCATTTTTTAATTTATAAATTGACATGCTGCCAGTACGCGTGATAATTTTACTTTTTCTATTATTTAAAAAGTTGAAATTGGTACGATTGGCTATTTTTTCTATATTTAAATTTCGAATTTCATTTACACATATGTTATCACGTGTTCTATATTCAAGTTTGGAAGTTTTGCGAACTTGTTCACACGCTCACCATTTCAAAGATATAAGAATATGGTATGAATTATATTTTGTGCCCACTTTCGTTGGCAGCTAACGTGCAACGTGTAAAATTATTGATAAAACAAGTCGAGGTGTTAGCACGTGTCGGGACCGCGAGTGGTACGTGTTCATATAGTCATTAACGGAATTTATCATTCTTAACAGAGAACTTTTCTATTCGTTCCAAACTTAGCCAAGGTTATTAATTTACTGATTTTTTTATAGTTAGATATATAAGTTGTTTTCATCACTTATAGCACACAAATAACAACAGATGTAGATACTTACGCAAAAAAAAATACATATACAAAAAAAAGGAAAATACATAAAAGAAATAAGATAATTTTTCATTTCGTAAGTGTGGCATAGTAACACAGAATGGTCACAACTCAGTTTATTGCTTTGCCCTCTGAAGAACAAAACACTGATAAAAGTCATCCGATAGATTCCCTGACAAAAAATAAATAAATGATAACATTTTTATTTACATCCTAAGTTGATGGATGTAGCGTGTAACCATTTACGTTTTACCTAGACCGAACGTATGTAGTTTTAATATGCAAATTTGGACTGATATTTGGTTGATGTGTATTCTTTGTAAAGTTTTCTGTGCAAATATATTTAAGTATGAGCTAGGCGGTATCGCTTGCACGATAGATACTACCATGTCATTTACATTTTTAAACTAAATTTTTTTAAGGTCTGGTGTACTTATTACAAATCTTATGGATTATTATTTAAATATACGAGATTTGGAGATTAGAAATAAAGGTAAAATTAAATATAGCGGATAAGTTGATAAACTTTCTTTAAGTCATATCAATAGGCGCAATCCGATCCAGGCAGTGCAAGTTTACCTTTAAAACAAACTGTTTTAATAAAATCTAAAATAATTAAAGTAAAATACAATATGATATATACCTATTTATGAATAAAAAATTATTTTACGACGCCAAATAAATTATATATCCTTTAAATTTTGCATTTTGTTCAAAAATGTTGCATTTATTTAAAAAAATAGTGTTTTAATATATCATTGCTACTATAAATTTACAATGTATGTGTCCCAGCACTGAATAGGCCCTTTATTTTTCATAAATGTCGTAAGAGGCGACTAAGGGAACTTTATGGTTAATGGGTGGGCAGCAATGTCCCTCTTAAAACATCACCAAAGGATAACTGCAGTTGCCAACAAGCCTGCTAAATGTGGCAACTACTGACAAAACCCCTCCTTATGGAGGAAGGTTTGTTCAGTACTGGACAGTTAACAGCTAATATAAAAATTAATGTCAATAAATATAAGACTATGAATAACAGGTATTTATTTATAACACGAAGTACTTGTGTTGTAACGTGCAAAGAAAATAAATCTCCATTAAATACATTATTAACTTATTTATCCGCATTTAATGCCAGTGCTAATATTAAAGCTCCTCTCGAGTTAAACGAGGGATTTTCGAGCATACCTACAGCTTACGAAGATTAGCATCATAGGCATGTTCATTTTATGTTTATCTTTTTAACTCAATCAAATTAATGTACAAATAAAAATTAAATTGTAAGCATTCGTTGATGAGCGCGTTAGAAAAAAATATCTGAATTGATTACACAAATTCCTTTTTTTAAGTTCGTACAAATTAATCCGATTGAGGATTTTTAGGAAAGAAAAAGAAATTAGAATTTATACAGGCTAACGACTGTATTGTCGGGTCGATTACATATCGAGTAATTTATACCTTTTACCTATTAATCCGTCGTAAAATAAAAAAAAAACATTTATTAAAAAGTGTACTAAGAATGTCATTTTTTACCCTAGATTTCTTTTGAGCTTACTTATACAGTAATTTCATCGTGGAAGAACTAGAAAAACTTGAAAACGTGTTTTTTTTTTAATTTATTTATACTAGGCATAGATTGATAATAGCTACTTTCTACCATTGTACGGCTCGCCATCGACAGGGAGTTCATCCTCATGTCCTACAGCCTCAATGGTCGCGTACTGCGCGGATTCGGAGATGTTTCCTCCCACGAACACTCAGGTTGTGGAATGAGCTTCCTGCCGAGGTTTTCGCAAGAGACTACACCATGGGGTTCTTCAAAGGAGGGGTAAAGAGGTTTCTTCAGGGTCGGCAACGCACGCGTAATGCCTCTGGTATTGCGGGTGTTCATAGGCTACGATAACCACTTATCAGGTGGGCCGTATGCTTGTTTGCCACCTCAGTGGTATAAAAAAAAAGTATCTCGAGGAGGAGAAAGTGAATCGTTTTCTCTATTCTCACTAATCCCGTATTATTGGAATACTTGAAATGTAGCTTCTACTATTTCTGTGATTCTCACACGCGCGACCTTCGCTCTAACAACTCTCTTGCTCTCTCTATTTCACTTCACCGTTCTGCTTTTTTAAATCCTTCACAATTGAGGTCTAACGACTCTGGAATGTGCTACCCATTGACCTAATGTAAATGGGTGCATGCATTTCAGAGCCGTGATTTACTTTAAAAAAAATCTACGAATATCTTGTGAAAAAGCTGTGAAAGCAGTTCATCATCGTCTTCGTCATCACCTTTGATCTCAATCATTCCTTTATTGGTATTATAGCATATAATCCTGTATGCATATAAACGTCTATTCACATTTGTACGTATGTATATATTTTTATGATATACATTTGTTATGTAAGTAATATTAGCTTAATGTCATTTCATTTAAGTATATAAATTTATATAATAATGTGCAATAGTTATCCATTGTATGTGTTATATAATTTGTAAATCAAAATGGATACGTTTCTTACTGTTAATCTACAACAAGTTTCAATTTTTTATTGCATAATTAAATTTCTATTTTGCCAAAGGTTGACTGGGACAGAATAAATTAAGTCTGCCTTTTATACCAACCATTTTTGTTTTGTATAAAAATTCATTCTACGATATTGCAATTTGTGTTTATAAAGATTTTAGTTGCACTTTTAGTAAAATTTTGAGTTAAATCATTATTTTACTAAAAGTATGTGTATAAATATAGTATATGTGATTACGTGCATGATACTACAATTCGTAATATCTTGTTTTGAGCCATTATTGTGGTTAAAAACTGGACCGCATGACTACGTTTGTTTTTACGTTACATTACTTACATTTTCTTATAAATAAAATCGTTTCTTGCGGAGAGGTTAAAATTGTATTTTCAATCTTAACATATTGAGAATAAGGTAAATATTAGAATAGATAAGAACATGTAAGATATTTTTGTCGTTTATGAAAGCCTGGTAAATTGTTCGGACAAAAAGTTGCACTTGCTTTCATTACAGCAGTTTAATTTAACGGGGGTACATTGCCATGGTTTTTTTTAAAACCATTCATATTTTCGTTACCCTGCAACTTCGTTCTAAAGAAAGTTAAATTGGTATATTGCCAAATTATATTGAATTTGAAACTGTAGTTTAAAAACAATTTCGATACAAAGTTCTTAATTCTACTGATTAACTTACAAATCAACGAAATTCTAAAGTAGATACTTCTAGTAGATACTCAAGCTTCTAATTTTGAATATAATTAATGTAATGTAATGTTTATAAAGTAAGAGAAAATTAAATCATGCCATAATTTCAATTCCGATACGCACTCACAAAACTATTTTAATATTGCAGGTTATACAATTTTTCATTGCGATGATATTGAGATCTTAGTTTTACCTGATAAGAGGCTAAATCGAATTAAGTACTTCAATTTCATAAACAAACAGTTTGTAAAATCATTCATTACCTGGCTTGTATATTTAAAGTTAGTCTCTCTGAAAATTACTTGTAAAATGGCCAATAGAATAAATTAAAACAAATGGAACTGTCGCTAATTGTTAATTAAACGTCTGTAATAAATTTAATTGATTTTTTCTCACATTCGATATAAATAAAAATAAGTAAACAATAAGTAAAAATAGATAAACTCTTTCATATGATATTATTTGATATCTCACATAATGATATCTTACTTGGCCTAGTAGATAAATTTTAAATTTTATTATAGTATCTCTTTTAGACTCCTTACCAAATAAAATATAAATATTTTTTCTATTATTTTTATTAAAGTAAGTGCGAGTTAATATTGTGTACAATTATTACAAATTTTAAATCGATAGCATGAGGTTGCTGAGATATAGCGTTGCAACAGACGGACAGATGGACAAAGTCGCATCATAAGTCATTACAAATTATATGATCTTCCTTTGTAACTTTTGGAACCTTGAAAAACCCTAGTACTTTTTTTTAATGAATGATAATGGAATGGTAACCCTGCTTGCGCTAACGGTATACGCTAATGGGGTATCAATAAGGGATGATAGGTAATAATGAAAAGGCAGGTCAGTTAGCCCATTGTGATAAATAAACTTGATGTTCAGCACGATGGTTTTCATGGGGGACCACGTGGAGGTCGACCTGACAGAGTATATTGCTAGCAGTAGGACTAGTAGTGCGCATTACCAACAACCCCCCCTCCTGCCCCACAATATCTAATATTAGACGCACTATATTATTATATATTGTGAAGCTATCATAATACAATAGGAATATTGATTCTTAATTTCTTTTTTCTAATGATTTTTTACCATTTACCATAAACTACACGAACTAATGTTTTAGTAATAGATATCTAAAGATATTCTTGATATTTTAGCTTCTTCACTAACCACTAATCTTCTTCTTCACCCCATAATAGGATATTAGTTTATGGGGTGAAGAAGCTGATATCAAGAGACAGAAATATTATAAATGTGAAAGTATGTTTGTTACTTAGTAGCGCTTAAGGTACGAGATCACAGAATAAAATTGTCCACGAAAATATGATAAAGATATGGCGCTAAAATCGATATTTGTGGTTTTTGTTGATTATTTTATAATCAAAAATAATTTGAGGCACTGGAGGAATGAAATGGTTGAGGGATGGGCAGCAATGTCCCTTTTAAAGCATCAGCAAAGCCTAATTGTGATTGCTAACGGACTGCCAAGCATGGCAACTACTGGCTAAACCCTTCATATCTTGGAGTCCTATGTTCAGCAGTGGACAGTTAACAGCTGATATGGTGATGATGATGAATATAAACTCTGTTTAGAAAACAGATATATCTACTTGTAATATATGAATTAAGTGATCATTATGTTATACCATACTTAGTCGAGGACGTACAGCAGCGTCCCTCAAAAATCAAACCTCAAAAACCTAACTACGCTTGTCAATCCGGCTGCTAAGCATAGCAACTACTGGCAAAACTCCCCATAGGGGGAAGCCTATGTTCAGCAACGAGTACATCTATCTGATATGATGGTTAGGATATTATAACATAAGAAGAACAAATATCTAATAACACTTATGTATATGTATAAGACAGTAAGTAAGTAAGTAGTAGGTAAAAATATACCATACAGGTGCGTGTCGACGTATGGCGTGACATCAGATAATAGGAGAACACTCGTGTACAACTGAGAAAACTGTCTACAAAATATTTCTCCAGTAGCTAAACTATAGCTACTCACTTACCCTGCTAATCTCCTCTTCAGTTAGCTGCTTAGACATTTTAGGTCCCAAACAAAATTACTAGTAACTTATAACGGATGCAATTAATCGTAACCGTAACTTAACGACTATAATGAATGTCAAAAGAACAAAGAAAACAATTAGACACGTCTAGGGAACTAATTGAAAACGCAACCGAAAAAAAAGTCTGCCGGTGTGATGGGGAGGTAAAAAACAACTGGTAGACAATTTACGGGGACGTTTTCCTGAGGTTTATTAAAAGAAGGAGAAAGTAAAGGCAAATTAGAGCAATATAGTTTATTAATGTTAAAAGTAATTTTGTTCGGATACGGGGGACACAGCTGTAGTGGCGTGCGGTCACGCGCGCCCGGGACGGCGCGCGGTGGCACCGTGCCGCGGGGCCACTCACATCGATCTATTTATTCGCTCTTTTATCTGGTGACTATTTTGCAACATCTCACTATTTCTTACTAATATTATAAATGTGAAAGGGAGTTTTTTGTTTGTTACCTTTTAGCGTCTTAACGACTAAACCAAGATAATATAATAGAATAAATTTATTCTTATATAGGTATGTCTATGCTGTAATATATTGTACTATATATAATTGACAAAAATATTTTTTTCTAGGTTTAATTTTTTTTTCTAGACCCCCCCCCCCTGAAAGTTCCAAACGCCCACGAGTGGGTGTTATCGCCCATTTTAAGAACCTATGTTTTAGACATACAAATGTAATCGTTTTATTTAGAATCAGCTGTGCTCGCCATGTCATCCGGGCGGTGAGATTTTGTATTTTCTCATGGTATTATGGGGAAGAAGACCGTTGTAAACATATCTTTATTAAGTCAAGAATTATGACGTCACATACACGTAAGGTCTAGTTATGCCTTTATTATTTATTAACTTTAGGCCGCTACTTCATATACGTAGATTTCAGAAGTGAGAAAATAATCACATTGGTTATTTCTAGCTGGCATGCCAGGATAAATAAGATTTTAAGTTCTGGAGAAACAATTGTGAAAAGGGCATCCAATTTGGTGCAGTAATTTTTGCGTGACGTCGGAACAAGCATGCAGACAAATACATACATACATACTTATCTGTCACCCCTGTCTCCCATTAAGGTAGGCAGAAACAATGGAACGCCAAATGCTTCGATTCAAATAAACTTCTTTCACTTCTTCCACTTTCATCAATCTTTTCATACACGCTCGCTAGTTACGGGTACTTTTGATTTGGCCTTTCATACAAACAAAAATTGTAAAAAATATTGTTTTCCATCTATGACTGCGGAACAATAAAAACGTATGTCACGCTAAACTGTATATTTTACAAATTAGAGAAAACATGTAAAAAAATGTAATAAATATATATATATATATATATATATATATATATATATATATATATATATATATATATATATATATATATATATATATATATAATATAAAAGTCCGGTTAGCCAAGTTGCCAGCAACAGCATCTGTCTTATACCCATCGTATCAATTTGCCTTCAATACCTCTTGTGTACAAACATTGTCTCGTTGTATAATAAGATATAGGTAGATATAAATTTACAATGGGGATCCTCCAAAAATCTCATAAGAGTTGACTATAGAAACGACACAATACACTAGTGTAGAAGAATGGAATTTAATTAAACCTTACCCTACACTAAACCATTGTAACATTTGATGACTTCAGTGGCGCAGTGGTGGGCAGGTTGCTTTGTGTAAATAAAGTCCCAGGTTCGATTCTCGGTCAGGCCAGCAGGTGTATTTTTTTCACGATAGACCAACTGACATGGATTCACTCTCATCTATCATCACGTACTCTACTAGCGTATATTGATAACGCAGGAAGATTACCATTCTATGATTCACCAATACATATAATAAAATTATAACTGGTTGCTGTTTGTACATGGAAGATATATAAGAAAAACTATTATAGTGGGGCTTTATGAACCCAATATAATGTGTGACAATGATTTAAAAAAAATTGTGTCTGTCCGTTTGTGTGTGTAAATCTCAGAAACGGCTTAATCGTTTTGAATGCGGTTTTTACAGATGCGTTGCGATTTGCTCCATTTAACATTGTATTGCAATCGGCTCATAAATAAAAAAAAAAATGTATCAATCTAAAGCATCACATATAAAATGCTATAAAATAACCAATCAGTTGAATTAGCTCAAACTTTATGAAGGTCGGTTTTATACCATATTTTAACTCATAGGATATTAGGGGGGAAAGGGATTGTTAGTTATGGAGACTGAGAATCCCATTGCTAGCAATATACCCAACTAGGTCGACCTCCTCGCGGTTCTCCCTGGAAATTATCATGGTTAATTCCTGATGAATTCATCATGATGGGCTAACTGGCCTGTTTTCATTCTCATCTATCACCCTTCACTGGTGCTCCGCCAGCGTATCCCGTTAGCGCAGGCGGAGTTACCATACCATTTTCACCCATCAAAAAAAAAAACTCAGGATATTTATCAACGCAGGCAGTGCTGCGGAAAAAAAGCTAGTTTAAAAGTGTATTATTGTAATAGGAATGGAGTGGAGGGAAAGGAATTGTTAGTGATGGGTTCTAATAGCCCCATTACTAGCAATATACTCTTTTAGGTCGACCTCCACGCGGTTCACCCTGGAAACCATCATGTTTAATTCTTGTCGAATTCATCATGGTGGGTCAACTGACCTGCATTCATTCTCACCTATCATCTGCCACTGGTGCCACGTCGGCATATACCGATATACCATTCCATTTTTACCCGTTAAAAAAAAAAGGAGTGTAGTAGGAGCGATAAATAATAAAAAATACAATTTCATCAATATAATATTATAATAAATTGTCTAAAATAGTCATACAATAAAATTTCATGTGTTACTTTCATTTCATCGAGATAAATTTAAAAAATTTACAATAACTACATTGTATAATAAACAATATAAAATGTATGCAATACATAATGATTATAAATTTTACACTTTGGTAATATTTACGTATCACATAATGTAATAATAAGACACATGAATTACCAGTTTAATTTTATTTTGACACAATAGAATTAGAATAGGGTCGTCTTAAAAACGTAGTTTATGACAAATACAGTGTGGACAGTTTATCTGTGAACTGTCAAAACTTGGAATTACGGTCGCCATATTGGTATTGTCATCAAATAAAAAAAAAACACTAATCTGTACTTGATGCTACTGTATTTCACTTGAGTTGTATATGTCATTGTTTATTTTGTATATTTATAGTTTTTCAATCAGAACAACTACAAATATACAGAATAGAATTCAAGTAGAACAAATCATACTATTTAATTACATTTTTCTTTTATATTTTTCACTTTTTTACATAGAAATATATCCTGTACTAAGAGCACGGACCTTCAGTAACAGTTAAATTGATCACAGTGTATTATTTTCTTTCTCATTAATATTAATTTAAAGTAAATCACAAAGCGAAACACTCGAACAGAAATATATTTTAATATAATCACACAAATTTAAATTTGTATTTGAAAAACATTTGAGCACTGTCATTAGGAAATAATTTTTCGTGCAGTTGCAAATTTTTACGAAATAAAGAAAATGACGATATAGGAATAAATACGAGTAATAAAGCAAATTAATATAAATACGCAACTTAGAATTTTACTCTTTTTTGGATTAGAAGTGACAAAGTGGGATAGATTCTGAGGCCGCATCCTCTAAAAATTGATAGTTTCACGAAGTTACTATTTTATGGGCCATTATAAACTGAAGTTATAATAATTTTGACTTAATCTATTAGAAATTTAGTCCTCATTTCGCTGTGATAGCAAATTCAAAATTTAATTTAAAGGTTTTACAATATCGTCACAGAATCGATCCAAATGTCAGGATTAGGTATTGCTTTCTATTAACTGCTAATATTATTAGTCATTAAGTTATAAAAGAACTGCATGACATGTTTGTCTGAATTGAGTTCCATGTAGTACGAATATAATGAATGAGGTGGTTTGGACGAAAATTATTTTCTCACAGATGATTTACAATCTCTAAATATTTTGATTCAGTCAAGAAGAATACTATGTATACCCAAAGTGAAGTAAAAGATAAAAAAAAATTATAAGAAAAATATAGTCATTAATTATAAAAAAAAAAATACCCAATTCTTTTGTTAAAAAAAAAAATCGCAGTCCAGTAATATATTTTACAGAATGATAACTTGTAATTTCTCTTCGAAGAATTGGAAAAAATCCATGTTACCAAAATTACGGCGCTGAATATATGATTATTCATTAAGTTAAATTACACTGTAAAAACTCAATAATAATGTCATTAATTTTATTAATAATTAATTTTATTATTTAAATGACTTTTATTTATTTCTAAGCGCAAATACATTTTTTTTTATCATGATTAAGCGTATTTATAAAAAAGAAATACTATGCGAAACGTGGTAGCCTATATATGTTTGTAATACTAAAAATATTACAATAAATGCTGCCGGACTAATTTAAAATACTTTACGAACAATATTTAGATAAATACAATAAAAAAAGGTATTTACTTATCATATTTAAAAGAAATTTCCTTTAAAATCTTATAAATTTGCATTTAGCAAGCAATAAATATGTTAATATTAAAATCAGATATATTATTACAATATACGAAATATTTATTACCCATTTATCTCATTTATATTATACAGTATATATATATATATATATATATATATATATATATATATATATATATATATATATATATATATATATGTGTGTGTGTGTGTTAAATCCTATTTTATATATATCTAGGGCAAGCATTGTTGGGCTACAACGGACTGTTTGGGAATTTTAATATAAATGCTTATTTGAACATAACTAGTGCCAAGGAACTATATTGGTTTGTGTCAAATTATATTTAAAATTAGCACCAAATCAGACTTATTTTAAATTTTGATATAACTTATTGTAACTTAATGCCTACATTGCGTTATGCGTTATTTAGGTGAGCGATTTTGTGGAATGTAGATATGTTGTAATTGACAGATAAATTGTATAGTAAAATAGAAATACAGATGTTTAAAGCATATATTCTTAAGGTCTGATTCAATGGAACATATGGAAAAAGTAATCAAGTTTTGTTGATTTTTTTTATACCACGAATCTGGTAAACGAGTATACCGCTCTTATGGTGGTAAAAGATCAGCGTAGTCTATGGACGCTTGTAACACCAAAGTCACGTGCGCATTCCCAACTCTAAAGGAACTTTAATACGGCCTTTTTGAAAAACCCCATACTGCAGTCTTTCGAAAAAACTCGGCAGGGAGCGCATTCTACAGCCTGAATATTGGTGGAAGGGAATTCTTCTGAAACCGTACTGTAAATTACTACAAAAACTTTTAAATAAGTAACAAAACGATTAATCGATATTTAATTTGGACTATACAGTAGGATATTAGAAGACTGTCTTATGATCGAACCAATTATACATTTGTTTATATTTTCCATTATTATGTTCCATTGAAACAGATTATATTTTTTTTTAATTTGTAATCTGTTTGTAATAAGTTTATTTTCAACAATGGCAAGCTAGATAATTGTGATTTTTTATTATAATAGTTAACATATAATTATGTTTTATGGTAAATTTCAAACTCAGTTACTGCTTTAGCAACTAACAAAACAAATTATTTTATACTATTCTCACATTTTTTATTTAGCTTGGCTTTTCATATAGTTTATATATGACATCTTAACTAAAATATGTTAAAACAAACATCACAAAAGTAGATAATATATTCACTATATTAAATTTTATCACTCATTGTGAAATAATTTGTCTTTTGTTGTACTTATGTTTATAAAGATGGTAATCTGTAAAAATACATTAAGAATAAAAAATAAATCTTATAATTATAAATTGTACACTCACATAAGGCAACTGTTATTTTTTAATTAAATTCGTAATATACTAATTAGTAAGTATAATACATACAAAGTTGATTATTTAAACCAAAATCTAAACTTGGGCATGCATTAAATTTATTTATTAAAATGTCCATTCTATTCTATGTTATTTTGTGTACATTTATGTATATCACTAGTTTATATACTAGTGTATTCAGCATACAATTTCTTGATTAATATAAAATTTTATTTATTAAAAACAATACTAATACGATCCAAATAATAACAGCAAATACTTTCTGCTAAACTAGTTCTTGAGATCACCGGGATCCGTTCCAGAGACTTCCAGATCTATGCTGTCATCAGGACTTTATGGAAATAGTCAAGATTAACTGGTCTAATCCAAGTCCTTGACACGAGGCTCAGTTTGGAAATGATTTGACAAAGTAACTAAATACTTTCCGCCAAACTGTTGTCATTTTAGCTAAACAGCTAACAAAACAAGTACGATTTATTTAAAAAAAAACGTAATAATAGTTTAAGTGATGTATATATGCAAAAGTAATCTCATTTCAAACTGTACTTTTTAAAGAGCCTTATGATAGATCGAAATCATTGGTATTTCTATTCTTATTTCGATCGTATAACGTATCTTTTACGTTTTATTTCCATCATATTATAAAAAAAAAAAGTAAAAAGTTTAGAGCTGCTAAACGAGGCTTCTATTTTATTTGGTATCAATCAATCTCGGCGTTGGCAATATATTGGTGTGTTCGGCGAAGGTGATGGCTGCCAACCATTTTATATCATTCTTGGCGACTTGGCTTGATATCGTGCAGCCGAACCACGGTTTCTCTCTACTTCTGAAATGGACAATTTTTTTTAAGTAATACTTATAATACAATAGATTCTTTTTTTCATAAATGTTTGATATACATTAACAAAGTATACGTTGGTTTTCAGGTTTACATACTAAAAGGGTGAACCCTTACAACGGGACCATTCCGCGTCCCAACACTATATTTCAACTATGTAATACTTACATATCTGTGATCTCTTTGAATTAAGAATGTGATTCGGTTAACTTGACATTCTTCATTGCCTAATGGTTGATAAATATTCTATTTTATAAATGATAATCATTTGAATGAAATTTGGTAAACGTGTAGATTATAACTTAGCACATAAGACACTTTATATAGTGATTCACGCGGGCGATGTCATGGGATACAACTAGTAGAATACAAATAACAATGAGTAAAGAGAGGTGAAATTGTTAGCGAATCTAAATTACTACCAAATAGATCATATTTTTTCACGATGTGGCAATAGATCTAACTTCATCCCCACCTGGTATCCTTAACAGGTACCAGGCTAACATAATACAAGTGGGGTTGCCATTCCATATTTATCCATTAAAAAATATGTTTTTCATATTAGTACACGACAGAGATACTTAAAAGGTTGATGACTAAAAGTAACCGAAATAAACATAATATATAAACTATATAACAACCTCCGTGTCTCAGTGATAGGCATGTTGTTTTGCGTAAATGAGAGCCTGGGTTCAATTCCCAATCGGGTTAATTTATACACAGGGTATACTATTTTCAACCGACTTAAAAAAGTAGGAAGTTCTCAATTCGGTTGTTGATTTTAATGTTTACTACCTCATTACTGCGTCAGTTGTAAACCAATTTGAAAAATTCTCTTTTTATCTGAAAGGATATATTTACCAATTGGTCCCATGAACGTTTTTTTTTGTTTACCAAAATCGGTTTTTTTTTATCAAAATTTGTTTTTAAATCAAAATAATTACTTTCTCCAAAATTGAAGTCGGTCTTTTTTTGTGGAACACATCAGTGGATCAAATGATTGGAGTCATTCATCATCATAACATTAACTGTCCACTACTGAACATAGGCCTCCACCTATTGGGGGGTTTGTCACTAGTTGCCACGCTTGGCAAGCGGGTTAGCAACCGCAGTTAAGCTTTAGTGATGTTTAATCGGTGTGATTGTGTGACATATTATACTGACCGTTTCGGCTTATTGTTTTTCGGTATGAACGTGATAGCCCAGAGCCCTTGTGGGTTGCGTTTCACTTCGTGACCGAGGTACCATAGGTGATCCTGTATTTTCCACTCCTCAGCTTTGATTGCACCCTGGAAAAGGAGAGATTTCATTTGTAGATTTATATTAAAATTTACCTATTTAGGTACGTCTATTCAACTCGTGTTTCTGCCGTGAAGCAATTTGCATGACTGTGTTTCAGGGTTTTTTTTTTTAATGGATGATGAATGGAGTGATAACCCCGCATGCGCTAACGGTATACGCTGGCGGGGCACCAATGAGGGATGATAGGTGAATAATGAAAAAAGCAGGTCAGTCAGCCTATCGTGATGAATACACCTAGAACTCAGCACGATGGTTTCCAGGGGGAACCGCGTGGAGATCGACCTAACAGGGTATATTGCTAGCAATGGGACTGGTAGCCCGCATTACTAACGATCCCTTCCCCCCTGTGTTTTAGGGTTTAAGTCCCAAAGTGGGCGATAACGCCCTGTTGTGGGCGCTGCAGGCCTAAAGAGACCCAGAAAAAAATGGGGGCGTAGTGTAGAGGCTTGGGGGGTGATTTGTTGATCTTGAAGTAATATTGGTTTATAAGTAGGTGAAGAAATGGGGGGCGCTAAAAAATAAATTATTCTCAAAATGGGCAGTAGACAAAATAAGTTTGTGAACCCCTGGTTTAAGAGATATGGCAGTGATGTCGCAGGGTTCTGAGATATAACACCCTAACCAATAACCAGCCATAGAAAAAGATCTATATCTTTTTTAATGCTATAGAATTGATTAATTTCAGTTTCTGTTAACAATTTTGATTTACTCATCTGTGCTTCTCCCTTTAAAAACCAAACAAGTGTATCGTTCTTTGAAGGGAACAATAAAGAGTTTCCACTAATTTCATTCAATCATGTACCTACTCTTGTTTATCAAACTAATATAATTATAACTGGACAATGTCTGTAAATGGGTAATTTTTAAGAAAAATTTATACAACCGGTCTTAAGATGAGCAACAGAAATCAAAACTATATATACTATATATATATATATACCACCACATTGATTACGGTTTTGAAAATCTGACTTTTAATCTGGTGTATGTCAACTAAAAGTGATCACGTATTTAAAAAAATACGAAATTGGAAGGAATTTTTTTTTTAATGAGTGATAATGGAATGATATCCTCGTCTGCGCTATCGGTATACACTGGCGTGGCATCAGTGAGTGATAATAGGCGACGATGAAGTAGGTCAGTTAGCCCATCGTGACGAATTCAACAAGAATTAGCCACGATGGTCTTCAGGGGGATCCACGTGGAGGTCGACCTGATATATTGCAATGGGGCTATCAAACTTTATTTCTGACAATCCCTTTCCCCTCTGCGAGCAATGGTTAGTTTAGTATATATATAATATAATAGTATTTATATAACACTATTTAAGTTACTTGGTATGCCAACTTACTTGCTTATCTTTAAAATAAACCAAGCTGCCGCTGTGTACTCCAAAAATATGAGACTTAAACGTCTTAGTGGTCTCATTAGCAAACTTGAGGGTAGCATTCAACTGAGGGGCATCCCTCTTGGCTTCCATCTCGTGGAGGATTGTGTTTTTGCTCAACAATAGATAGTTTTCTTTCCTGTCCTCCTCGTCCCAGTAGCTCCACCGTAGCACCACATCTAGTACCACCTGTAGCAAAAAACTCGTTATTAATGATTAAATAACCAAATGTCAAGTTAATAACTAATAACATATAGTTATTAACAGATATGTTAAATTGATATAAAGATTGTTGACTGGTGGCCCTGTATGAGAAAACGCAGTGTAGGACCTCCCCCCCCCCCCCCCTAGATGGAGTGACGATTTCAAATATGTTTTTAATGGGTGATAATGGAATAACCCCATATGATATATAATACATATATAACCCCACCCGCGCTATCTGTATACACCGGCGGGGTACCAGTAAAGGATGAAGTAGGTCAGTTAGCCCATCGTAACGAATTCAACAAGAATTGTTTACGATAGTTTCCAGAGGGAACCATGTGGAGGTCGACCTAATAGGACATATTGCTAGCAATGGGGCTGTTAAACTCCATTGCTAACAATCCCTTTCCTTCCTGACTTCGAATGCATTGTAACGCAGTATAGGACAACACTTCTCTAAACAGAATACAGGAAGGAATTCATTACAGGAAGTCAATGGATGTAGGCTTAGGACCGTTCTTTATGGCAGTTCGTTCTATATGATGATAATATCCAATTGTGAACTATAACATTGGTCCTTTAATATTGCAATGTATGTAGATTAGAAACTACGATTTGTTAAGTAATATATAATACGGTTGTTATTTTTAAGAAGAGCCGTCATTATGCCGACTAATTGGAAATATAAAAAACAAAAACTTTTTTTGAGCCTACTTTCTCCTAGTCGATTAAATAAATTTATCATCTTCCTATCCTTATCCCAATTATTATTTGGAGTCGGCATAATATGGTTTTATCCATATTACAAAAAGATTTGGTTTTTAGTTTTACGACCTGCCTGACATGATTAAATAAATAAATAAATAGGTTAAATAAACTTCTAAGGCCTTCAAATATTTTTTTGTTGTCAAAATACAAATTTTCAATGATACCTTGGATGAGCACTTCTTAAATAAATCGATTGAAAACAATGACAACTGTTGAACTGTTCTTAATAATAATTCTTAATAATAATTCTTAATGATAATTCTAACATTGTTACATACACTTTGGTGAGCTTCGATCTCCATAGGAACGTTAGTTTTTAACAATATTATATTTAACTGTACAATGAGAATTTAGTTAATCTACTACGTTTGTAATCGTTTGCCTTTATGTTTTATAAGAGACGAGAATTTACGCGATCAATTAGATAAACTATGATAATTTACCTGAATTGCCTCGATGTTTCGACCAGGTTATTTATTATTGTAATTATTGAAAGAAGGACTTTTTTCAAACAGAAAAACCTGTAATAACTACGACCTTTCCATGATCTTTCGTGCTCGTCTTTTTTTTTAAGTTCGCTGCTAATTCAGTAATAGGAATTTTAAGATGTTTTTGTAGAGATATTTTTTATCTTCTCAGAATATAAAGTGTATTATCCAAAAACATATATGAGTGGGCTACAACTACAAAATAATTGCGTTTCTTCCTCATTATGACAAAATCAGCAAACACTTTTTGGACATAAGCCTAATTGGGCCGTGTGATTGTTTAGTTTGCAGTGTCCAGTGAGTGCCCTTGTTAATACACACATGTTATTTTTAGTTATAAGAATTAATTTCTTGAAGTGCCAGGCTATTATACCGTCCTTTATAAAATGTAAAGCATGCAGTTTGCAAGTATAAAACTTAATATATATAGATTCCCGTTGACAATTGTCAAAAACGTCAAACATAATAAGCTCGTACATTCTCATTGTCTAACTAAAAACCATGACAAGCTTTTTAACCATAATTATAGAAAATAACTAATGATAATCGCTTGTTCAAAATCGTTTATGGACAAATTTATATCTGTAACAAAACCTCGTTTATATGGACGATCCGGCGCATTGCGTTGTCGCATACCACTTCTTCTAACATCAGAAGGTGTGAGTATGTATTCGCTTTTTCCGCTAATTCTATGCATAGATCAGAACTCGTCTTGTTTGGTGTAAGCTGTGAACAAACATTGTAAACATTAGTGGAACAAATATGGGGATGCTGAAAGCGAATTTCAGTACATCTTTACATAAGATGTACTTGATGCATTATATTTAATTTTATTATCATCATATCAGCCGTTTAACTGTCTTCTAGTGGACATAGGCCTTCCCCATTAAGGGGGACCTTGTCAGTAGTTGCCACACTTGGCAGGCGGGTTGGCAACCGTAATTATGCTTTAGAGACGTTTCAAGGGGGACGCTGCTACCCATCCCTTGACCATTAAGTTCTCTTAGTCGCCTCCTATGACACCCACGGAAGAAAGGGATTCTATACTAGGCCCATTCTATACTAGGACCACATAATTGATTGATGCATATAGATAACCAATAAATCATATAATAAGACATTCATACATCTACAAGGAAATAAATAGGACATCAACAGGTTAACTTAAAAAAAAAAAAAACAAAAAATACATTCCCGCCAGTTATTGTTATCTAAAATTATGTGTTGAACAGAAAGTTTGAAGAAAAAACACTTGCAGTGGAAAAAATGTCCTGTATGAAGAAATATCTATTTGAAAATATAGCACATAGACGCCATATTAAATTATTATAAAAAAATATATAGTCAATGGCACTGGGCATATCTGTTCAGGCATTTAGAAGTCATGTTGCAATAACTCACAAACATTAATTAAGAAACTAAAGTAAATTCTGAGGGGCCATTGCCTAATTTTATCTCTAAAAATAGTATTTTTATTTGATAGTTTCATGAAGGTAATATTTTATTAAATGTCATAAAAGTGTATTAATAATATTTTTTTATTAAATCTTACTTAAAACTTTGATTACTAGCGTTACTTTATTGGTATTACAATGTATTATCGTATATGTACGTTTACATATGTATTTGTATCTGTAAATAATAAATGTATAATTTATTAATATAAGTATATTTGTATGATCATAATGTATAATAGTCCTCCATAGACATTTATATATTGACAAACAAATTAGATATATATTATATAATTTGTGTGTAAATATATAAACGTCTGTAACTATTTACTCACAATAATTATCAATATTTTAAACCGCATAATTATATTTCTGTTTTATTTTACTAAACTGCGTGTTGTCTTGTGGAAGTCCATATCACTGGTTATTTGTTTACAATTATTTTGTTTAATTCCGCTACTATTAGTATATGACCAACACTATTAGTGTTGGCAGTCACACACATACTAATAATAGCGGAATTAAACAATTCTAATTAAATAACCAGATTCTGTTCTTCCACAAGTTAACTCAGAGAGAATGCTGTACAGCTTTAAGATCGCTTTTAGTGCCAAACATTTCTTTGTAATTTGATTAATTAATAAAGAATAAACACAATATGTAAGCATTTTGGTATCGTTATCACTACTTTTTTCCCATAGTTGACTGGTAGAAAACGCCATATGGTGTTATGTACGCCATATGTACAAGTTATCACATATGTATATGAAGATAAATAATTAAATTTCGCTATTAAATTAAAGTTTTAATTTTAGAGACAGGTTTAGAGAACAAGCCCTCAGAATCGACCCCACTGTATATATTTACAAAGTAGTTTGTTATTGTACACAACTCACCGCCACTTGATAGCACGTTGTCTTATCATTAACATAGATCCACGTTCGGAGATCGCCCGCCGCCTTCGGCGCGACCGGCACTTGGGTCCCGTACACTTTCACCAGCACCCTTCTAATAGCTGCCTCCCGGCGTTTCTCGGCTTCGGTGGGCTCCCATATCGACTCGAAGTTTACAATCAGATCCTTGATCACGTGCATACAGGTCATCCACATTTGTTGATTGGGCTCGCTTGTCTGTGTACAGTCATATCACCGATAAATAACAGTACGATAAAATAGGTACTAGATAGAGAGAGACTTTGTACAAAATCTGTCTATATTTAGTTTAGTGTCCTTCAATAGAACTTAGAAGGAAAAGGTAACCAAGTTCTATAGGAAATGCCACAGAAATTTCTTAATAAGAATAAACCAATTAATTGATTTTTTATTTGTATTAGCAAGTATTGAACCTCAGCAAAGTGTTTTATGGTCCGATCTTATTCGTTTGCTTACATTATTATCAATTATATTGAAACAAACTGTACACCTATTGTACTCATATTTCTGCCTTCAAGTAGCTATGTTTGGCTAGGTTTCAGTTTGGTGGTAGGAATATGAAGTGAAATTACAGAGTACAAAGACTTAGCACTATGATCCTAAAGAATGCCACCAGATGATATAAATTTCATGGACGTAGTCAATAAAATATTTCACGATGCGCCAACTGAGCTGCTTTCATCCTCACCTATTATTTCACTGTGGTACTCCTCCAGAGTATATTATTAACGCAGGCGCAGTTGCCATTTCATTTTTATTTTTATGAGAAAAAAATCAGTCCTCGAAATACCAACTATGGGCACCAGATGTGTAACTGACCTATTTTCATTCCTTAATGATACTCTACGGTGTATACCAACATCTCAAATACAAAAAAAACTAGCATTTCAATTTGATTTATTATATAAAAAAAAATAATAATAATAGAACTAGAAATAAATTAGATATTAACTTACAGTTGCCTGAGGCATAATAGTGGGCGCCCATACTGCCGCCAAGTTTTCCGCTCCCATTTTGTTGGCGTACATCATGGACTGCAGGAAATGCAGGTGCGCGAACAGCTTCCGAGCAGTGTTCGCTGGGACCAGCGGTAGCGAAGAGAAAATACGTCGGTAGGTTTGGTGTCGCTCTAAGTTATTCGGTATCGCTGGAACCACATAATTAATTACTCATCAGAGGTCTCCCTTTTCTAGTAATCTTCTTAAGATCTTACAATTTTGAGGTCAATGTCCGTAACAAAAATTGTATATGAGTGCTTTACTAAAGAGTGTATCAAAGTCGTCTGCTTGAGTAAATAAATAAAAACTCGTGGTTTACTGCTGAACAGCTATACTAGCATGGATTTGTTTCAATATATAAAATGGAACATGGCAGTGAAATTACAGAGTAAAGAGACCAATATATGTATAATCAGGATTGGCAAAGCATAACTGGTACCATCGATGTCAAACACGTATTCTGTGATAGTCGTGATGACTATAAATATGAACTGCTGTTCTTGTCTATAGGTAACAGGCGAGGTATTAGCACATTCACCATTTCACGATGCATTTTACAAATTAAGAGTGGGTTTAATGAAATGCCTTTTCACGGTGCTGTTGTTGAAATACGTTTATCCGTGTGATTCACACATAGAATAGACCCCCCCCCCCTTCATTTTCCCGTGGTTGTCGTAAGAGGTGATAGCAGCGTCCTTCTTAAAACATCATAAAAGGCAACTGCCTTAGCCAACCCACCTTCCAAGCATTGCAGTTACTAGCAAAATTCCCCTTTTTGGAGATTATCGTGAAGAAACAATGTGACATGAGTTTTTTTATATATTAAGGTAAATTACTTATTTACATGCATGCATGCAGTCAGACACATTTTTCGACTATTATAATAATTGTGGTGGACATAACATAAATCACATTTATTATCCTCACCCAGTGCATCGATCAGTTCTTGATGTTTATTTTGCGGTATGAGCGACTCAGGAAGATCCCTGAAGAACCTTTTCAGTACTCCAGCGACATCGTGCTCCGAATGTTGGCCGTGACAGAGTTGAAGCGACCATGCGTCGCGCCGGAACCCGGTTAATAAGTCCGCTATCATTGAGTTTGAGCCCGCACGCCGGTAGATGCCCTCCGAGAGACTCCCTAAACAATTCATCATATTGTTACTTGCGTTGGTTTGGTCATTTGGAGAGGATGGATGAAAGAAGAATTACGAAAGAGATTTATCGAGCAAGAATGAATGGAGATGTCGGTAGGGGCCGCCCTAGACGGACGTATGTCGACCAAATAGGCGACGTGCTGAAGAAGGGCCAAATTAAAAGTACCCGTAACCGACGAGCGTGTATGACAAGATTGATGAATGTGGAAGAAGCGAAAGAGGTTTGTTTGAATCGAAGCATTTGGCGTTCCATTGTTTCTGCCTACCCTAATGGGAGACAGGCGTGACAGATATGTATGTTACTATACAGTAAGTGATCACATATTTGAGAGATGGCACTGTCTTTATATTGTCGAATCTAGATAATGATTTTATGCAACCATATTATCATAGTGTTCTACAACTCATTATAACTTGCCTCTATCCAAAATATCGATAGGTATCATAAAAGACTAAGAAAAAAACTCTACATTTTATAGTGTAAAAGTTTGAGATTCCATTAAATTGTTTCATAAATTTTATACAAATAGAATTTCTTTATCATTTTTTTTACATGAAATTTCAATGACACCAAAAGCGTAAATGTGAAAAAAACAATAAAAAAGTTTAATTATAATTTATCCTCTCCGCGTGAGGATGGAATAAGAATATTATGTATTACAACTTCTTTTCCGTCTCAGAAATCATAAAAGGCGATTAACAAAACAAGAAACACTAGTTAAAAAAAGAAAACTAGATATAAAACCTTTTTCAGTCTATATTCAACGGAACTTAATGTACAAATAACCATATTGAAATTATCAAAGAAACATTACGATAACAAATGGAAATATTTAATTGATTTTTTATTTATACTGAAAATGGACATCAACAAACTGTAGTATGGCCGACTCAATTATTCGTTTGTTTAGATTTTTATTAAGTTATATTATAACGCCTGGAATGGGTAGCAATAGTAGAGGCCCGCTATAAGTAGAGACCAATATCTCGAACACTAATTATGGATGGAAGAGTAGTTTACCTTAAAACCATTTCCCTTATAGATATCAGATACATACCATGTGCATATACAAAGCTGAGGCATTTCTCGACGATCACGGGCACGTCCTCTTTGGTCAGCTGTTGGTGGTGCAGGTATGTGCCGTTGTTGTGCGCAGCCAGGCGGATCATGAAACGCCAGCTCTGTACCATCGCCAAGATTAATGTCAAACCGCTCAGGATAACAAAAAAGTATACAAATAAAAATGACGTGCAATACAATTTAGGGATTACCAGAAAAATAAACGAAAAAGGTAGCCAAATGGGGAGATTTTATTTCCCTAGTTTTTTATTTAAATAAAATAAACAATGTTGCATAACCCATTTTTCGAATACCCCTCCCGCCTCTATAACGTTTTACAAGATCATCCCCTCCCTTCAAATTGCGTTGCGTAATACTTGAACGCCGCCTAACATCACACATTTACATATCATCCCCTCACAGATATTCTAATAGCGTAAACCAATAGTGCAGTTTACCATTCCATTATCACCCATTAAAAAAGCATATGTACCTTGAGTTCTCTTTCATGAGGGAAGTGTAAGTATAGTGTAGCTTGTGGACAATCCAACAACAGATTATTCGCGCATTCTGTTTGACAGGATTTCTTCGTCTCATCTTCAGCTTCTTGGGTCACTATTGACAAATATATATTAAAGTTAGAGACAATGTCTTAATCAAATAATATTATATTATTAGTAGCAGTAGTATTTAGGAACATATACGACATTGGCACGTTCAAGAAAAAAGCATATTTCTTCTTAAAAGGTCGATAACACGCCTGCAATTTCTCTGATGATAATCATTTACCATCAGGTAAGCCGCACGTTCGTTTACCACCTATGTCTTAAAAAAATTAAAGAGTATTCTGTGACATTTACTGCGATCCATGTATTTAAGCGATGGTTGCCACTTTTAATCAAATGGGCTGTCAGCATGTTTTCCATTCTACTCGTAATTATCATAAAATAAAACCACTGCAAGATTAACACATTATTGATATCTGAATATTATTAACAGTTGAGAGCTTTTATTATAAATCGTATATTAGCACGGCGCGATATGACTTGACCGTCATCACAAGAATAAATTATTTATACGAGAACTTATCATCGACACGATATAATAGAAGAGCAAAAGATTTCAGAGCATTTCGCTATTGTTGCATATGGATTGTATTTTACTGCAGGATTAGCAATCAGTTTGCTTTTAACAAAATACCAGCCTATGTTACTTGCTGATAATGTAGCTTTCTATAGATGGAAGAATTTTTAAAATTGGGTACTACATAATCGATTTTTGAGTTTATCCATTACAAACATAAAAAAAAAAACTTTCATCTCCATAATATTAAATTTAGATAAAGATTGATATATTAAGATATGAGATAATAGAATAATAAATTACCAGGTGTCTTATAATTAAAAAAAAAATGTCTACTTGTTAATTGTTTCTAGAAATTCACAGTTGTGTTATTCAGATTGTGTTACATAGAATTAATTATCAGTTCAACTTGAATGCAACTGTTATCGTAGCTTCACTAAAACACTTACAATGCGTATATTAATGCGAGTCAGCCATGATAAAATCATGTTTTAATATGTGCTGGCAAATAAAACGTAGACGCTACATAATACACGTTTATTTCTGTGAACCTTTAATGTTATACAATAACACAGAATACTAAGTAAATAAAATGATCCGTATTATCAAATTATACACACCGCAAATATTGATAAATTATTACATAGCTATTGTGTATTATTTATTTTTTATATTTATTGTATAAGTTATTTTAACTTTATTTATTTATTTATTGCAACTTTATTGACCAATAAAATGTAATACAAAATGCGGGTTTAATGCTATATATATATAGTCATTCTCTACCAGTCAATCTTTAGAACGTTCGGAGATACCCGATGGCAATTTAAAAAAGTAAAATTGTTTATATCTTATATATAAAATTCTCGTGTCACGCTGTTTGTTACCAAACTCCTCCGAAACGGCTTTACCGATATTTATGAAATTTTGTGTGCATATTGGGTAGGTCTGAGAATCGGCCAACATCTATTTTTCATACCCGTCAATGATAAGGGTGACCCACCCCAAAATATTTTTTTTTATTTTTTTGACAATTTTTGTTTATTTTTATTTTATTATAATTTAGCATTGAAAAATACATACAACTTTAAATTTTCATCGTTTTACGATCAACCCCTGTATTTTAATTGCGATTTTTATATTTCGCAATAAGTGGTAAAACAACGTTTACGGGATCAGCTAGTTTTAGTATAAGATGGTAATTACATACATAAAACTTTTTAATAATATATTTTAAGTCGCATAATAATATTTATAAGTCTATATTATTTAACAGTTTGTGTTTTGTTTCCATAAAAAAAGTATACTTGATGTAAATATACAAATTGGTCAGTTAATACATACATACATTACTGGTTATATTATTACCTTACCTACATAAATAGATACATATTATATTCACGTATCAAAGAATTCATTGTCATTATATCAGATGTTATCTGTGCACTAAACATAGGCCTTTCACAACTGAAGAGCTTCGCCAGTAATTGCCAAGCTTGGCAGGCGGATTGGCAACCGCAGTTAGGCTTTAGAGATATTTTAAGAGGGACGCTGTTGCCCATCGCTCGCTCTCCCTAAGTCGTGTCTTACGACACCCACTGGAAAGGAAGGTTAATATTTTACTTTTAAACAAGCAGTTTAAAAGTAAAATATTAACTTGACTCGCTAAAAAAAAATAAACGGCAACTTCGGCACAAAATTAGTACGAGATCAACAAGGGAGTAAGCTTCAGGAATAGCAACGCATGGGGGTATCATGAGCAAAACATTATACTCTGTTAAGTCCATGATACTGTTCATGTCTATAGGCGACGATTACCACTTTCCAACAGGTGGGCTGTCAGCTTACCATTCTAAGATGCATAAAAAATGCCTTTGACTAGCTCATTCCGCTAATTTAAGTCTAGGACTCAGTGAATATGACACCTCCAAGGTATTCATCTACAGAATAATAATTTAATGTAGGTATATCATGCTATAATGAATTATGTTAATAACATTAAGTAGTAAATGCAACCAAAAATACAGTTACTTTATAGATAACTGATTGTGCCGGTTACATTATACAATGCAGAGGTCAAGTTGATGATATACTCTGTATTTTATGAATCTTTAGACTGCATGCTGATAACACTTAATCAATTTAGTTGGATTAATACTTATTTATTTATAAAATTTAATTAAAAACTATTCAATGTTCAAGCATTGCAACAAATATCAACAAACAAAAGACCTACCATAATATGTTTTCCGAAAAATTGATGCCGAACGAAATACGAATTTTATATTAAATATTAAAACATTAAAACAACATAATACATACCGTTTAAAAATATTAAAATATCGTATGTTCGGACTTTTATGATAGGATTTATGACGAACAACATGTTAAGCTTCATTTTAATATCTAGCAATCTGTGCGGCTTTGTAGGTTTTCTTTTTTATTTTTAAATAAAATTCAACTCATATTGAAAAACTTTTAAAATATGTTTATTATTTTTTAAGCTTATCCATTACAAATAAAATGAACTTTCATCTTAACTATATTATTTCAGATATTTCTGTAATTAAATTAAATTTCGAATTCGAAAAACGTTATTAGTTTAATTCGAAACGAAAATAAAATTTAACCACTTCCTAAAAAATGGAGATTTTCAATTTGTCTACATGATTTTTTTTTTTAATTATATTATGCGAATTACGTGGCCGATCCATAAGCAAGTTTCCAAATTCTTTTTTTAATTATAGTGTTTACCCGCGACTTCGTTCGCGTGACTTGGATATGTTTACTGAGCAAGTTATAAAGTGGCCTATGTCCTTCTTTTACATACATACAAAATTTCACAGTGATTAGTTAAGTCGTTAAGATGCTATATTTATAGTATTTGTAAGCATGTGCCAAGGGAAGTTGTTTTTACGAGCGAAATTGCTTGTTGCGAAGCAAAATCTATATGTAAATAAACCCGTAACATTTTTAATATGACTATCTAGGTTACACGTCGTTATACCTACGTCGTTCATAGCTATTTTTGGGATGCAATATAAAGTAAATTATACTTTTCCTTTTAGGACCACTATAGAAGATTAATACTCTTTATATATTTATCCACCATTTATAAATTCCCTGCGTGAATTAAAAAAATATTTGTGAACAAGACATGCGTCCAAGCTTCGCACGAGTGTTTTTTTTTTTTTTATACAACTTAGAATGGCAAACAAGCTGACGTCCCACCTGATGGAAAGTGGTAACCGTCGCCTATAGACATGAGCAGTACCATGAACATAACAGAGTATACTAGTTCGCCCATGACACCCCCCCATGCGTTGCCATTCCTGAGGACTCAGGTGTTATTCCTCCGTACCCAGTAAATTCACGCCATATCCCACCCTTGAAACCGAAACACAGCCATGCAAACACAACTGATTTACTGTTGAAACACGAATGGGACAGAGGTATCCAAGCAATCGACTTTTGTACAAAGTCTCCCTCTGGTATGATCTGAGTGTTTACTGTATATACGAACTTTCTATAATAAAGATTCATATAACAGTGAAATCTATATCAAAATATCAAAGGGAGACTGTATAAAACATATTTGTATAGACAAGTTTGTCCCATGCGTGTTTCTGTTATGAAGCAGCTGTTGTGGCAATGATATTACAGGATACACAAGCATAAGGCCATAGCCCTCAGTAATAGCAATGCATGAGGGGTACCACGGGCATTACAATATATACTGTGAGATCTACTGTCTTGTTTATGTCTATAGGCGACGGTTACCAGTTTCGATTAGGTGGATCATCAGCTTGTTTACCGTTCTTAGTATTTAAAAAAAAATCGAAAGAGATTTATTATTATATTTACGTATCAAAGAATTCATTGTCATTATATCAGATGTTGTCTGTCCACTAAACATAGGCCTCACTCATAATTGAGGTTTCACCACTATTTGCCACGCTTGGCAAACGGGTTGGCAACCGCAGTTAGCTTTTTATAATATAGAGATATAGAGCCTTAAAGCCACAGAGCAAATAAATTTAGAACAAATAAATGACTGATTGATTATTGATAGATTAATGTTTTAAGAGGGACGCTGCTGATCATCCGTCAACTATTAAGTTCCTTAGTCGCCATTTACGACACTCACGGGAAAGAGAAAGGGGTAGTCTATTCTATACCAGGAGCACATGGCTATATACATATACGTATATATATACATACGTACTTCATATACATAATACACGAGTACGTACCTATTTATATCTTCATAATAGATCCGTTATGAGGTGGGTTGAGAGAATGTTATTTATACATATTATTAAGTTTATAATTTTAATCTATATTTTGTAGCATAAATTATTTGACATGTTGTTTACTGTCTAGACAGTGTAGGCTGAAATTTAAAGGCAGACGTCGCAGGTTATCGAGGCTTGTTTACAAATTATATCTTATGTATCATCACGCCAATTCCCTTTTGGATCTATCAATCTAATGAAAAATCCTTTATACTACATTTCTTGCTTTATCTAGGGTCGTAACTTGTCTTATGCATATTTAAACATTCAGGTACATATGTCATATATATATGAATGTCCGAAATATTATCTTTATTTTTTTTTTATAAAATCGTTACATTATATTACTTTAAGATTTTTGGTTAAACCTAAGATTAAGCCATGTACGGTCTTTTACTGTAACCATATATAATTTAAGTCCAATATTATACCTTTATACTGACAAAATATTAAATATTTAATATGACAAGCACACATTGCTTTGAAAAAAATATCTACAACATTAATATGAGACCAATATGAGAGTAAACACGACTGCAATCAGCAATATGAACGAACATCGATTCAAACAAGAATATAAAGATCGAAATTAAGACCTACAAAAAAAAAACTATTTCAATTGTACCAAACCCAGTTATTTTGATGTAATAACTAAACCACTGAACAGATTTAAAAAAAAAAAAAACATAGGAACAATCTGTAAGTTTTTTTTTTCAAATAAAAAAAGAATTATACAAATCAGTTTAGATAGAGTTATGAGGTCACTAACAAAAAAAATGCAGAGAGAAAGAGAAATAGAGAGAACCTCCCTCTTTTCGAATTTTCGCTGAAAATCGGATAAAAAGTATCGAAGTAGTCTCGTAATACAGCTATAAAAAAGAAGACGAATTGTGAAATTTCTTTTAGACGTCGCTTAAAAAGAATAAATTTACATACAAATTTTATACATTAAGATATTACATTATTTAATAGACTTAAAATATATTGCACTTACCGACACATCTGGTCTTCCTCAGGTCTACGGTGCAGACGTCGGAGTCGCGCGTTGTGTAGTAAGCCAACACACGCCGATGCAGTATCAACCACGCGCCTTGCCACTCTCCTGTCACGCCCTCCTGTCGACGGACAAAAATCAAATGAATAAATATCACTACACAATTTACCGTGTGGTCCCGGCGTAGAACAGACCGTCCATTCCAAACCCGTGGGTGTCGTAAGAGTCGATTAAGGGAGGACGAGGGATGGGCAGCAACGTCCCTCTTAAAACATCTATAAAGCCTAAATGCGGTTGCCAGTCTGCCTGCCAAGCATGGCAACTACTGGCAAAACTCCCCAAGGGAGAGGCTTATATTCAGCAGTAGATAGTTAAAGGCTGATATGATGATGATGATGATGACACAATTTACAAAGCGCCATCTAGTATTAAACTAAGCATAGCAGGAGGGAGGGATTTTTTAATTATATACGCTAGCGAATACCAGTGAGAGATGATAGGTGAGAATGAAAAGGCGAATCAGTTAGCCCATCATGATGAATACATCTGGAATTCAACACGATGGTTCCAGAGGAGACCACGTAAAGGTAGATCCGATAGGGTATATTGCTAGCAATGTGACTGGTAGTCCGCATTATTAACAAACCCTTAGAAAGAGAGGATTGTCAGTAATGGAGACAGACGGACGGGTCGACGTCCACCCTGGAAATCAGAAGGTTAATTTCTTAGTTAATAAATTAATTATGCTGGACCAACTGCTACTTTCATCACTATTAGAAGACTAAACAGCGTGTTAAGCACCACAATTAAATCGTAACACCATAAAGGTCCAAATGTGATAAACTTTTACAAAGTTCAATTTTACAGTTACAATTTTCAACTCATGATTGTAAATATGAGTAGTACCCGGAAACGGAAGCTTTGAAAACATTAATCCCCTTTGCAACTTATGCTTTTCATGTACAAATACAGAAATCCTTTAATATGTGCTGGAAAATATGTTGCCTATGTGAGTTATTTGCTCCGATGTCCCGGTCACACAAGGTAAATATATACACTAGTTGCTCCCGTGAAGTTGTTCGTGCATATTATGTATATAATATATAGCCTTCCATCATAATTTTGTACGGCATTTTTTATCGCAAATTTTTGTAGTTGATATGTTAATGAATTGATATTTTTCCTATTGTAAATCACATTAAAATTATCGTATTAAAAGATCATTGTTACATTCACAGCATATACGTGTATTATTTATATTTATGTCCCAAATTTCAACATGATACGAGAGTCAAACTGTAAGTCCTTAGAAAATAAAAAAAAAAACTGATTAAATTAGCAAGTTTTTATCTTTATTTTATCTTTTCAAAATAGTGTCCATTCACGTCAATACAACACTGCATCCGATAGAACCACTGAAAAAAGCACTTTGCCCACTCGTCCTTAGGAATCTCTTCGACGGCCTTCTGAAACGTAGCCACAGCTTCCTCGGCGTCCATAAAACGTTTTCCTCGAAGTTGTTTTGAACTTTTTGAAACAATTGTCGCGTAATGACCTGTCCTTCCAAAGAACGAGGCCACTATCTTTCCCACGCTTCAACCTCTCACTTTAGTTGGTAACTCTTCGGAAGGAAACACCCACTGAGCTGACTGTCTTTGTTTCGGGATCATAACAGTAAATCCAATTTGTCTTCCGTAACTATGTCAAACACAAAATTTGAGTCACCTCTGTTAAATCTTTCATGCATTTCACGGCACCAATCAACACGGACGGAGTTTTTGAGCCTCGGTCAAATTATGAGGTATCCACCGGGTCAAAGTTACCGCTAAATTTTTATGGAGGAATTTTGTGCACTTGAGTCATACCAATCCCTAAGCTTGGTCACTCTTTTGTCAGTCTTTATCATACGCCGCACAACACTGATGTTATCTTCAGTCGTCGCCATAGAAGGCCGTCCCTCACGCACATCATCGGTGAGATTAATGCAACCACGTTTAAACTCATTAAACCAGTTGTAAACAGTGGCACGAGACGGGGCTTCATCGTGAAACGCCAATCGTAGTCTATCATAACTTTCTTGTTGACTTAGATGACATCGAAAGTCATAAAAAATCATCGCATGAAAATTTTCTCGTGTTAAGTTCATGATAACGTTACACAGACTATTTTCAATTTGCCGCCAAACCGTAAAACAAATGACAAACGAATAAATGTTATACTCAGTATTATTCGTAAAGAGTTCTATTTTCAAAATTTTAACAATTTTTTTTATTATCTTGCTTTCAAGTAGCCAGTTCTAAAAATTTTCAGTGTAGCCCTCGTATTCCCAGTAACCCTTACTATTTTATATCAAAAAGAGTTTCTTTGTTCCCCATTAGCCTTTTAACGGCTTAACCGATCACTATGATATTTGGTATACGCGTACTATATGGAATACAAAAGGTTATATAGGCAGTTTTTTATCTCAGCCAGTGAACATATACCGGTTACGCGGACAAAGTAACGTGTAAAAACTAGTAAATAATATGTTGAAAACATTCATATGTGAAAATAAATCACCATATTCATTATTCAAATATTTTTTTAAATATCATACTGTTTTAAATAATTCTGCTTAATTCCATTATGTTAACTGTAAAATATTTTCATTGTATAAACACATGGTATGTTTCGACACATTATCCCTTGGGCGTACTGAGTGTATTCATCAAAAATTTATTTATAAAGGTATAATATGATAAATGACATAATAAATTTTCAATAGGAAACCAACAACACACAACAACAGAAACTAATGAATAATAAAATATTAAACAACTATATATTATTTTATTTTACGGATATTTGTAATATTGAAATTGAATTGAAATCAAAATAAAATTGAAAACTCCTACTTGCTGTGCCCAACAGGGTCCATAATTGAAATGTTATCTACTAATTATATTATGGAATGCAATGAGGAATAAATAAAATAAAAAAAAAAAAATAACGGACGAGAAAAGAAAATCTCATTAGAAAATAGCGCGAACGAGAATCGCACGGTTTAGACTTTGTTCCGTACAAACTCTAATAAAAAAAAAACAAGAAATATTATCTTTTTTTGTACAAATTCTAAACCGTATTGTATTGTATTGCAAAATATTTTAGTACATCACTCAGATTAAAACTGGTAAATGATTTAATATACAATGGCGGACTTATCCCATAAAGGGATTTGTTACAGTCAACCTTTGAGAAGCTGAAAGAAAACTGTAGAATGTATAAGGGTAATAACCGTACAATTAAAGATAAACTAAATAATGCCCAGTAAAAAATTGAATATATAATACAATAAAAACAGCTGTATACACCTACATATGTAAATAATAAAAGTACATGAATAATAGTATAACATTAATACATAAATAAATAAAAACTTACACACATAAATACATATATATATATATATATATACATACATACACACACACACACATACATATACATATATACACTCATACATACACATACATATATACATAACAAATACATACCATATATTCACAATTGGCTCAATGAAGAGGGACTTTCAGAATAAAATTTTAGAAATTTTCGTAGAAAATAAGAAATCACGTGTGCTACCAAGTGCTACGAACTACTATTATATTTTTCTCAATATTCAAAGCAAATTCGCGGAAATAGCTTCTACACAGTGCCTGTAAAGAAGAACTATAAAGTGCCTGTAAAGTACTCGTAAGTAGAAAGAGTTAGATTGAAGTGAAGATATATAAACTTAGTAAGTAATTACTTCATAGGGTAAAAAACAACTTATTTTGCGCCTTATTTTGTATCAGTCTATTTTGTAATTGGAAATGTAAATTGATTCATAAAGATTTTCATGTCAGTCATATTTGAACTAATTCAATTGTATTAAAAAAAAAAGAAATAACCGCTGATATAGCGAGGTAACAATATTTACACGTCATTACACGCGACTGTCATACACGGCAACACTTGAGGCCGAGCGTCGCGCCGGACGCAGCGATTCGGAAAACATTAGCACACTTCACATTAAATTATACAGTATTCTAACTAGGTTTACCACATTATTAAAATGTTACTAATTTTAAACATTTATATTCATGAGTATGTCCGATTGTATTAGTCTTGGTGTTTTCCATGTATGCACGCTACAATTCATGCAGTTGATTACACAATAATAAACTATAGGGAAAGAAATTGTTAGAGCTTTTTTTATATAACAATGAAATGTTAATTCCGCGAACGCTATCGATGTACACTGGCGGGGCACCAGTATCATAGGTAAAGACGAAGTCAAGACAGTTGGCTCATTACAACGAATTTGACAATATTTATTTACGATAGTTTCTAGTGGGAACCGCGTGTAAGTAGACCTGACAGGGTATGTTACTAGCAATAGTGATTAACGCCCCCACTACTAACAATCCTTCTCCCCCAATATTAAGGTAAGGAACTTTCTAACATAAACGTAATTTTAAAATCTGCTAATTAACAAAAGTGTAAATATGCTCACGATTGTAATAATCGGATAGTCAGAAGCATTTTTCGACTGTTTTGATAAGCTCCCTTGATCGACTCTTACGACACCCACAGGAAAGAAATGGGTGGTTCATTCTATGCTTGGAGTACATAACGTATTTATAATTCATTTATTAATTATTTATTCATATTTTTTTTTAAATCACTGATATGGCAAACAAACATACGACCCAATTGATGGTAAACAGTTATCGTAGCCTATGAACGCCTGCAATACCAGGGGAAATGAAATTAAATAACGCTTGATATTGCGTATTGACCAATATTTACATGTCATTACATGTGTCTGTCATACACGATAGCACTTGAAGCCGAGAGTCGCACCCGTTAATTTCGGTCGAGTGTTAGTTACGTTCACCGTAATAACAATAATCAATAAATGCCTCTAGACACCACAGATCCTCACGACTGTACGTGGGCATATTTTAACATCCTTAGGGTTTCGTTCTTCAAAACAAAAAAAGGAACAATATTACAACTATGTATTTAAGAATTATTTATTGTCAATACACACACTGCTAATTGTTGATAAGGCATACAGAATGTATAGTTTTATGATGA